ATTTGTAACAAGATCCCCCAGGTGATTCTAACACATCTTGTTAAAATGTAGATTCTGATTCAGTGTATCTGGGGTAGAAATGCAAACTCTCATCAGGGCGTCAACTGGAATGAACCAGTTTAAAGCCCTGCTCTGAAGTGCCCTCATCATTTATGATCACGTGTTGTTAGGTGTCATTGAGTTGGTTCTGACTCCTAGTGACCCTCTGTACAACAGAACAGAACACTGCCCAGTCCTGTACCACCTCACAATCATTGCTGTGTTTGAGCCCATTGTTGCAGCCACAGTGTCAATCTATCTCATTGAGGCTCTTCCTCTTTTTCACTGACCCTCCTTCTCCCTCATCACTCACTCAGTATATTTAAAATAATCCTTTAACTTCTCATAGTAATCCTTTGTGAAAAAAGTACCTCAAGGCTTGAGACCCAGTAACACCTCTGGGCTTATCAAATGACAAACTGACAGGATATCAAATGGTGGATTCATTTGATCTGTAGTTGCCTGTTTGTCTGATTTGTATTTCAAGTTCCCTAAGAAAATTATCCAGATGTCTGCTGTGTGAAGGAACCTGTTTGTTCAAACATACTGCGCTCTCATCCCTGCCAGTTTTCACAAAACAGGATGGCTCTGCTTGGGCGGGGGGGGGGGGGGGATTCACAAAGGTAGGAATTACAGAAAGTAGTGTGCCAGCCTCTCTGTGGGAGATCATTCAACTCTAGCTCAGCCACAAAGGAGAATAAAAACAAGGTTGCTTTAATCCTCCTATGCCAGAAAAAATACTAGGGAAGCTCAAATCCTGTCGCTGTGAAGAACCAAGGCCATTTGTTTGTAGGTGGGGGTGGTGGGAGGGTGAGGAGAAGAGAAAAAGAAAAAACAGCCTACTTGGATCAAGTGCTCAAGATTGTTTTTGTTGCGAGAACTGTGATAACAAAGATATATGTGGTTACACTTTCCCTTTCAGTTCAAGCAGACACTCTGTTTCTGAAGAGTTCAAGATAACACAGTCAGTCACATTTATGCTATTTAATAGAACTTTTGTTAAGTTTGTTCGTGTATCATCCTAAGATATGCTGTGAGAAACAATGTGAAGAATATTTTTTGTGTAAATGAAACAAAAGCTCTAGGTTTTCCATGTTTTTTAAAAAAAAAAAAAAAAACAGATTAGTTGAAAAAATCTGAATACTGACGTAATTAGATTTTATTTCAGTCCCTTTGCTATATATTACATAACTGCCACAGTGGTAACAGCTCTACTTTCCTAGTGCCTGTATGGAGTTCCCAGATGGTGCAAAGGTGAATGTGCTTGACTGCAAACCAAAAGATTGGAGATTGGAATCTACCCAGATGTACCTTCCAAGAAAGGCCTGGTGATCTGCTTCCAAAAAATCAACCATTGAAAACCCCGTGGAGTGTAGTTCTACTCTGACACACACACATGAAGTCATCATGAATCAGAATTGACTCCATGACAACTGGTTTACTGACATTTCCTGCCGGAAGCAATAGCTTCATGGTAGTCTGTAACCAGTGCAATTACTGGACAATTTGGGTATATCCCTTTGGTCCCACTGACTTTATAATAAGCTAGTCTAGGACTTTGGCAGTAGAGATCACCTGAAAGGAAAAAATGGACCTGTTATCAGGAACAGTCTTCAAGTGACTCAATATAAAGAGCTCTATCCAGTCACTATATGCATATAAGAAACTTCTGACTCGTGTACCTTATGATAGGCACTTAAATGGTGCCTTTTTCCCCAGCTTCTCAGGTTACTTTTGTAGCTACTGTGATATATAGTCAGAAAACTACACGTGCACATTGTGAGGATTTGTGACTCATCTTTCATATCAGGTTTTTAAAAATACACTCATATGCTGCAGTAAAAACAATATTGATTAAGGAATCTATATTAGGAATTATGGGTCACTATCATCTATAAAGGCTAATTTAGAAGGCTAGTAAAACCTAAGATTCCAAGAGAATCGGTTCATGAAAATAAAATGTGTTTGAAATGATGGTCTGTTAGTGACAAGGTCTATGAAACAGGGCAAGGGAGGAAAAAAAAAAAAGAAAATAACCTAACCCATATGCTAGAGTGTGGAGCAGATCAAATGATATGGAGAGTTTCAAGTTGCTATGGAGACGTTCTCTGGCTCATTGGCTGTGATGCTGCACCCCATCAGAAGCTACCATTCCTTCCTCAGCCCACAATGAATTCAGTGCTATTCAAGGTGGATTTGTTTACGTCCTACCATTTGCCTACCTACAGGGTGAGGAAGATCAAAGAGGGCTAAAGCATGGCCCCCACCAAAAATGTAGCAAGGAGAAAGTTGCATATATAAAATGACTATAGCGTAGTACGGCTCAGAAGGTAATTAAATGCCCAGAAGTATATTGTAAAGGATAAGTGCTATGTGAGATTAGGAAGAACAGAGATGAGCATGGACCAGCATTACCAGAAAGGACTCATGGTGATAGAATTGAGAGAGGGCTAACATGGCTCACAGTAGGCACTCAGTAACTATATGGTCAGTTAGTGAATGAGTGGAGTCCCTGGGTGGTACAGATAGTTAACATGATAATAGAGGGATTGAAGGTCCAAGTCCATCCAGAGCCACCTCTGAAGACGGTCCTGGTGATCTACTTCCAAGACCCTCAGCCGTTGAAAGCCCTCTGGAGCACAGTTCTACTCTGGCACACATGAGGTAGCCATGAGTTGGAGCTGACTCCATGGCAACTGGTTTTAATAAAGGAGCAGAGAGGAGAGTGTTCCAGGAAGGAGGAAAGGGTTGAGCAGATCTTCTCAGGGAGGGATATAGAATGTTACCAACATACTGAGGAAACCTCTCAGATTGTTGTCAGGGCTTTGGTGATCAAGTGATAGATATTCGATTAAGAGGCTCAGGCAAGATTATTGAGGGCCTTGAAATGAGGTTTGATCTCATAGGCCCTACTGATAGATTTTAGACCTTTCCTCAGGATGGTGATGTAATGAAAGCCATGTTTTATAAACATTGGTCAAGAGATAAAGCTCCAGACAAATGGGAGGGGAGTGAAACTAGAAGCCAAGCAACTAGAGAAGGGTTATGAGTGGTGATGAAAGCCTAGATTTAGGTGGTAAGTGAGAGTAAAGAGAAGAATGTGTATAAGGAAGCATTCATAGTATTTGATAACAAGGAAGTTAAGAACAGGCGAAGGCCCCCTCTCCTAAACAGATTAGCCCCTGGACCCAAACTAAAGTTTCGGAGGCAGATTTGGGCTTGAGCTAGATGAGGTCTGGTCTGCCACTCAGGTGTGAAGCAGAAGTGTAATAGTGTAAATTGCCAGAGTTGGAACTAGAGCAAACAGTCAACATGTGGAGAAAGAAGGAAAACCGACCAGGTAAATGTGACTAAGAAGACATGCAAATGGAGAAAGTACAGGCATCTAGAAGATGAACTAGAAAAAGCAAAGCCAGTAGGAGCAGGGTCTGCCTGTGAAGGAGACCTCAAGCCTCACCCACCAATGAAAGATGAATGGAAGCTGTCAGGCCTGAGTGGCAGGAAGACTAGTGAAGGGAGTGATGAGCCAAACGTGGGGAGTTTAATTATACACATTAAAGAAATGCTGCAACTGTGTTCTTCATTTCTTTGTTGGAAAAGTGAAATATTCTCAGCATGTTACCACAGTACTGACGATACTTTATAGAGAAGTAAGAGGCAGAAAACCAAGGTCTTTTATTTGCTTCCGTGACTTGTGAATCAACACTAATGATTTACTGTGATTCTGGTTTGTTTACTTGTTTCATTAAAATCGTTAAAATGAGAGTAATCGTTCTGGATTATAGGATCATTGTCATGGCATGCACAGTTTTTTCTAAGCATTTTGAACTCTTTGGATAAAGAGATGCTCTGACCACCTCCCACTTCCCAAAGTAAGGAAAAAGACACATTAGGGTCTAAAATAAGCCAGCTGAAATAAGCTTACAATAGGTTCTACAGTCCAAGATTAATATCACTACTCACATCATCCCTCCCATTCAGGGTGGAAGATAGAGCAAATATCATGACTTATATTTGATATTCTTGGATAGGTCAAGTCGATTACTTACCAAAAAACCCATAATACCAAAAAAAAAAAAAGTTTATGCTGATGGCAACTAAAGTGTGTAAATTAAAAACAAGAAAACAAACTATCAGACTAAGCATTTGAAGGTGCTTTCTGATGCATGGCTTAGTGTACACTGGGGTCATTACACACACTCAGATCAGTCTCTGGATGAATTACCTTTATCTCCCAGCAGAGCTGGTGCCGGTCAGGGTTATTGCTTTAATAATGCACATGTCTGCTGTTAATGTTTACCAGCTAGCTAATCAGAACTCTAGAGAATACATGCCACGTTTGCATTGTTACAAGGTAGACATCATCTTACAATTAACTTCATTACAACTGGAATGTAATCATACAACATTACCTCTTTTCATTTTTCACCGTGAGGCTTTAAAATAATTAAATATATATGTGTGTGTGTGTGTGTGTATATATATATATACATACATACAACTATAAGTGCCATTTCTGCATAGAAACGACACCTTATTTTCTTGAGGATACATAAATGTACTCACTCGTGCATATCCATGCACTTCTTGTGAGATATGCTTACAATCTTTATACCAAAAAGGAATTGTTTGTGTAAAAATTATATGATACAAGGTTTTTTCACTTTTTTTCTTTAACCATACAATTATTATCTGATTCATCAATTAGGCACTAGGGACCATGTTAAAAACCACTATAAATATAGACTATCTGCATATATTTGGTATGTTTTGAATTGATAACTTAGGAGAAAAATAATCATGGTATTTTACACCTGAGCAGTTATTTGGAAATGCAAAAAATACTTGATTCTGTGTTAAGCAAAGGTTTGAAATTGTGCTTCATATTTGAGCAAAAGAATATTTTCTGAAGACCTTGCACTTAAGCAATAATGACATTTAATATCATTCTCTCCTTGTAGGCCACGCAGTGCAGATTATTTTATGCAAGAAGCTAAACGGATGAAGCATAAAGCAGATGCAATGGTAAGACCTTTTCTTTGCAGATATATTCTTCCAAATTATGTTTGTACTACAGCTCATCACTGGGGCAATATAGCGGGGTAATTATAAAATCTATTACAAGGATGGCTGGGTCTGTTAAATGGAGAAATGTTTATATAATCAAGTGCTCATAGCCCAATAAATTATGACTTCCACCAATAATATCTGACTAGGAGAAAGCCTTCAATAAATGAATATTTCAGTTTCCTCATAATATTTGAATAGTAACTAGAACCATAGGAGCCAGTGGGAGGTAGTATATTTTTACTTTGGGGGGGGGAAAGAAAATTAAGATTTGCCTTTTTCTCTATTGTTATCCTGGCCAACCCTTGGCTTGGTCCCAGGGTCAAATCCCTTTTCAGAAAGATTCTCGTGTTCTTCAAGTGTATCTGCCAAAATGAATACTTCATCTGAAACTGTATGGCCACAGAAACTATTATAATGCACATGATTTGATGTTTTCAAAGAATAACTTTGCTTACTTGGATAATCTCCTGTTTTGGAAAGTTTGAAGCTTTCAGGCAAGAGATAGAAAACTTGTGTTTTGTTTTGGATATTTTGGCTTTTTTTCCCCCCCTAAAAGAGAGCATATGGTTTTTCCATCTTAAGTCTCTTCCATAAGGACCCCTTCTAACCTAGTAATTCCAGCTCTGGTCCCCTTCAGCATTCATAAGTGGGATCAAGATGCTGGAGATGAATAAAGCATTTCAAATGACCTTATTCTAGTTTTGAAGATGCTTAAACCATAAAGTGTCCCTCTCCCAGTTTTACTCATCTTACTGTTGTTCAAGCATTTATTTTGTATAAAGGTCACTGTCTAAGTACACTGGGAGAGAGGAGAAAATAATCAGAGTATCAAAGAGTAGGAGACCCTGGGTGTTGCAAATGGTTAACACACTTGGCTGCTAACCTAAAGCAAGGTCCACCCAGAGGCACCTCAAAAGAGAGGCCTGACAGTCTACTTTAGAAAAGCAGCCATTGGAAACCCCATGCAGCACAGTTCTCTTCTGGCACACATGGGTCGCCATAAGTCTAAACCTACTTAATGGCAACTGGTGTGTGATGTATGTATCACAGAAGAGAGAAAGGAAACAGGAAGTACAGTTCTTATCCTCATGATCTTACAGTCTAATAGAGAGTTCTGGTCAACTGAGGAATGTTACACAAGGCCACTATTGGGAGAAGAGCATTGACTTTTAAAGCAGAATGAAATGTTCTGCCTGAGTCTATCATCTACAGTTTACAGGATTATCCATTCACTCTTATGTAATCCAACTCTACCTTTCTATTGATTATTACCAAGAATACATTCTGCTGTAGCTTGGCCAATCCCATACCAGCCCCTATGCACACTTTGCTCATGTAGCCGGTAGGCCATTGCCCCTGCAGAGCTTCACACACACACACACACTCACAGCTGCTCATACCGCACTCACACTGTCAGTATCCTCTCAAGTCCAGCCAAGTCACACCATTCCTTCCAGCATCATGTTCCATTCTCCTCCCTGAGGCTTTCCCACCCTCTCTGTAGTCCCTATCACTTGCTCCTTTCCTGCCATCTCATTTGCATTTGACTCATTTTTCATTTTGTTAGTTAATCACAGCCTGCCTTGCACTTTGAACTATCTTGTGGACGTACATTTCCTTTCTCCAAATGTATGATATGTTCTTGGAAGAAGCTTTTGTGTGTCAAGCACACATAGCACAGAAGAGAGTGATTTAGGAAATGCTTTTTGAATGAAATGCTTCTTTAATCTGAAAGCACTGTCAAGAAATACTGCTTTGTAGCCTAATAGGGTTATAAGTGCTTTAAAAATTTGACATGCTGATGAGGAGAGTTTTGCTCTACATGTCTGTTTTCTAAAGTATCATTACTATGAAATTTTTGGGTTTTAGTGACAAGGCTTAGAGTGGTAGAGTATTTGTGTCATTTTTGATTGATGAATGAGTCATTTGAAAATTGGAGAGACTGAGCAATCCAGAGTTAGAATATGTAATTATCCAAAGATAGTAGCAACGTATGGAACCAGAAACTTGATGTGTAAGTTTAGATTTATGAGAACTTAAAATTAGAAAACTGATTCTTGGTTATCCTTGCTGATGTGGGGACATTTTAACATAAGTTGAGACAGCTACAGATAATCCAAAAAAATATATTTATTATAAATTTTCAACTTGGTGTCCCTAATAGCAAAGCTAGTAAGTATCTTGGATTTCATCTCCCCTCCTTACCACCTCCCTCACTCTCACCTTTAAGTGAGATCCTAACTGTTAACAAAATAACCAAACACATGTGATAAGAGGAAGGTATGGAGATGTAAATGTTATAAATAATATAAAAGATGCTTTTAAAATCTATAGGAGCTCTGGTGGCTTAGTGGTTAAAAGGATTTGGCTGCTAACCAAAAGGTCAGTGGTTCAACCCACCATCCACTCCATGGGAGAAAGATGAGGCAGTCTGCTTCTATAAAGATCTATGGCCTTGGAAACCCTATGGGGCAGTTCTACTCTGTCCTACAGGGTTGCTCTGAGTTAGAATTGACTCGATGGCAGTGGGTTTGGTTTGGTTTGGTTTTTTTTTTGTTTGAAATCTGTATGGGCTCAAAACAACAGCAATTCACAAGATTAGATAGGAAGCTTAGGGGACAATGAGTTTGTGTTAATGGAGGAGGAGGGACTCAGGAAAGGAGAATGAGAATGGTTGCCTAACTCGAAGAATGTAATCAATGTCACCGAATTGTACCTGTACAAACTGTTGAATTGGTGTGTACTCTGCTGTGTATATTCTCAACAACAACAAAAATATATTCTAATATATTGAACCGTCAGAGTTGGGGTACACAGCAAAAGTGTGAAAATGCTTTATGTGGAACCAGAGCTATTAATTTCAGTGCACATTTAGCATAGTATGGAGGAATAAAGAATGAAGTTCCCAAAGTCATTAGAGATTAAAAAAAAAGTAGAGACAGACATGTGAGCATCCATGTTTTAAGCAATTTTGATTGAAAATTATATATGAATGTGGTACAATTCTATATGTAACTATTCACTCACTTACCCCAAACCAATAGCATTTTATGGAAAAAAAAACTGGGAAGGAAGTATTCCATTTCTTACTTCTCTTGGCTCCATTAACAAGCTTTTGGAACTCAAAAGTTGGGTTTCTCAAAGTGTATAACCTGTGTGAAAATAATGTTTTTTAAAAAAACTGTTCTTAAGGAAGACTGTCTTAACTCTGTTAATCAGGTGGAAAAGTTTGGAAAGGCTTTGAACTATGCTGAAGCAGCCTTGTCATTTATTGAGTGTGGAAATGCAATGGAACAAGGTCCAATGGAATCCAAATCTCCCTATACAATGTATTCAGAAACAGTAGAACTTATCAGGTAAGGATAGTGGTTTTTTTGCTGGGACTTGGGGGTAGCGGGAGCATGTGAGGAATACATGTAAATACTGTGAATACAGAGAATACAAACCTGCAACATCAGCTAACAGTAACTAGTGTTCATTTCACACACCCTCCCCTCCTTTGCTCTCTTTGTGAGCAAGACAGGACAGCTCCTACGACCCTGATTGCTTCAGCGGGAAAGCCAAAACATTGGTTCCTTCACCCATCTAGGAAGTCATTTTTAACTCATTCCTTGCCTCTTTAAAAAAAAAAAAAAAAACTCCTGTTCAAGTTAGTATAACCTAAATCTTAGCTCCATCAGTAAATTATTCAGGAGTATTTAATGAAAAGAAGGTTAGGGAAATTTTATGAAAGGAAAAGCCATCCTCAGAGGGTGCTGACATTGTTCTGGTCTAAAACTTCAAAATGAACACTGTCTCCCATCCTAAATTAAGACAGTATGACATGTGCAAAAGCAGAGTGAACTGTTCTGATGCCACACCAGGTTTCTGATTGAGGCTTCTGAAGGGGTTTGGTGGGAGACACTTGTCCTCCATGGAGACTTGGAAAGGTACTGCCTTAATTTCTCTTGGATAAACCATTAAGGGAATTTCAGCCATTAATCTACTAAGAACCTTTGTAATATAGTTTATGTTTTCAGCCAGTTCACCTGCTTGGGATAATGTCTAATATGAAATTATATGAAATATTTCTTCCTACAACTAACTTTAAAAGACTTTTCTAATTCTAGAATTCAATATGATTTAAGATTAGATATTTTTTACCATGCCCCACCATTCCAAATAGAAGATTTCTAATCATTTTAGCTCATAACCTTTTCGTCAGCATTGGCTTAATGATATTGTATACCACTTTTCTTCAGTATATAGTTTCCAGCCTGTGAAACTGTCATCCCAGCATCAGAAAACACATCATCTTCAAAGAGCATGGCCTTCAAGAATGTTTTGAAAGTCAACACTGCCTAGCCATTTTTATTAAAATCTTTTTACCAAACCAATACCTTAATGACTCTCATACTATCGACATACATGGTGCAGTATTTTCATGGTAAAGAAGACAACAGAATTTTCTTAAAATGTTAAAATTACTCTAAGAGAGCCTAGATTCTCACATTCTTTTCTCAGACTGAGGCACACAGACTGCGCTGCCCACAGGAGGCAGAACAGACTGGGGGAAGCTAGACAGGCACAAGGCAGTCAGGTGTCCTAGAAAGTGAGTGCCTTGAGTCCAGGAATTTGTGTGTGTGTGTCTGATTTGTTCACTAATGTATCCCTGAAACAGTTCCTGGCACATAGTAACTAAATGCCATTAAACATTTGAGGAATGAGTGAATGAGCAGATCTTGGGATATGTAGTGAATTGATACATGCATTGCCTGCTTTTAAAGACATTAAAATTTTAAAAGACAAAAAAAAAAAAAACCCTAACAACAACAACAACAAAAGTGTGGTGTCAGCCAAACGCAGCTGGGATGCTACTCTTGTTCTGCACCAGAGCTGTAACTCTGGTCAGCCCACTGACACAGGTAAACTTGTGTGAGTGGAGAACTCGCCTCATCTTCTAGATAATTCTGACTCAATACATCCCTTGAAACTACCCAGAAAATTGAGATAAAAGTTTTTCATACTTGATTTAGAAAACAGCATTTTGTCACTTAAATATATATATTGTATGCTAGGCCTGAGACTCCCTTCCCTGCCAAGAGACTATAGGCTACGATCTGCATACTAAATCTAAACAGGGTAAGTGCCTAATAAAATAAAAGATTTAAATAGAACCCAACATCTCTTAACATAACAGATAAAATGTCCAAGATACAATATACAATTACTGGTCATCCCAAAAATCAGGAAAATCACAACGTGAATTAGAAAATGTAATCAGCTGCTACCAATACCAAGATGACTCAGATGGTGGAATTACTTGACAAGGATTTTAAAGCAGCCATCATAAAAATGCTTCAACAAACAATTACAAATTCTCTTGGGGCAGGGGACACACAGTTCAATTAGAAGTTATAAAAAAAGAACCAAAAAGAAATTAGAGAACTTTTTTAAAAAATGTAACAGAAATTTAATTTTTTTTTTTTTTTTTGGCAAAATGGCCTAAACAGGGTGGAGCTAGTCTGAGAAACAGAGACTGGGGAAAATTGAATAGAGCCTCAATAATAACTAAAGAGCCAACATTTATATCATCAGAGTCCCAGACAGAGATGAGAAAGAGAATAGGGCTGAACGAGTATTTAAAGAAATAATGGCTGAAAGTTCCAAAATTTGGTAAAAGACATAAGCTTATAGATTCAAGAAGCTAAGGAAAACCCAAATAAGATTAACTCAAAAGAAATCTATGCCAAGACATATCATAATTACATTTCTGAAAACTAAAGATGAAAAGAATCTTGAAAGCAGCCAGAGAGAAACAACACATTACCTCTAAACCTACCAACCCACTGCCATCAAGTTGATTCTGACTGATAGTGACCCTATAGGACAGGATAGAATGCCCCATAGAGTTTCCAAGACTGTAAATCTTTACGGAAGCCTCATCTTTCTCCCACGGAAGGGCTGGTGGGTTCGAATCACTAACCTTTTGGTTAGCAGCCCAATGCTTTAACCACAGTGCCACCAGAGCTCCTTTCACATTACCTATTAAAAAAAAAAAAACCTCACTGCCATTGCGTCAATTCTGACTCATAGCGACCCCCTTTGGGTTTCCAAGATGGTAAATCACATTACCTATGGGGAAGACCAATTCAAATGGCTGGCAGTATGTTTCTCATCTGGAACCATGAGGCCAGAAGGAAGTGGCACAACATTTTTAAAATGCCTAAAGAAAAGAACTGTCAACCATGAATTCTAAATAAAAATATTCTCAGACAAAGGAAAATTAAAAATGTGTCAGTAGCAAACTTACCATTAAAGATTAGCTACAGGAAATTCTTCAAGCAGAAAGGAAATGATAAAAGAAGTCATCTTGGAGCATCAGCAAGGAAGAAAAAACAGAAACATGGATGCATGCAATGAACTATCCTCCTCATGAGTTTTATAAATCATACTTGATGTTTAAAACAAAAATTATACCACTATCTGATACTCAAAACAACATTTATTTAATAGTGGGTAAATGTAAAAGGACCGAAGTGGAAGTCAGGTTTCCACGTTTTTGCTCAAAGTGATAAAATGTTGATACCATAAATTGTGATAAGTTGTATATTGCAATACCCAATAAAAGTGATACATTCAAAAGCACAAAATCTACAAGTTGTGGAGATAATATGATAACATACTGTTTTTTGAGTGATTCACAATGAGCTAACCTGCTATACCAAGAGCTTTACAAACACTGTCTTGGTTAATCCTTACAACAATTTTAATCAACAGTATTAGTCTCATTTTATAAATAAGGAAATAGAGACTTAAAAGATGTTAAGACATTTGTCTAAGATCGCACAATCCAAATATGGATTTGAACTCAGGATTCTCTGACCATTACACATATTGCCTCAGCTCTCTCAAAAAGTCTGTGTGTAACTTGACATATTATTGAAAGAAAAGAATGGCCATAGCCTGCTCTGGTTCAGAGAAATAAGTGGAATGAAAAACAGTTCATAAAAGCCACTAGTTTCTCATAACACATATCTGCAGAAGCAACTACATGTCTAGATTAAAAACGTAGCCAGGACACTAAGGCTGCTGTCATAGTAAGAGCTCCCTAACAAAGAAAAAGGGGCAAATTCAGGCATTCATCTGAGAGCAAGGAATGAAAAATTCTCCTAAGGTAAACCCAGAAGGATTGAACTTTACCTTCATCTTGTCATCCACTTAGCTATAAATCAAAACTTGTGAAAATGGAATGGATATGTTACCATATACATGGATAATTCTTGAACTGGTAGCACTCCAGATCATCTGTAGTATTTGAACTTACGTTATTAAAGAGCAAAAAGTAACTAGATGGTCTTTAAAGTTGTATTATTCTAGTCATCACAGTAATGTAATGTTTGGGGGGGGGGAATAGAGCAGCATCATATAGCTTTTAAGGAAGAATCATCAGTAAGCATTATTAAAAACTGAGTGTCAAGCAGAAAGAACTATCTTCATAGAAAATGTTCAGTTGTGAGTAAGACATGTTTTTTCATTTCCTTTGTTTTCCTTTCTTGTTTTTTGTTTTGTTGTTTGTTTTTGTTTTGTTTTATAGGTATGCTATGAGACTAAAAACCCACTCAGGCCCCAATGCCACACCAGAAGACAAACAACTAGCTGCATTATGGTAAGTGCATCATACCAGCTTAACTATATGTCTTCATTGGCAAACTCGGTGCTGAAATGCATGATGTTTTCTTGGTGTCTTCTAACATACAAAACCAAATGCAGTTCTAATGGCAAGGAAGAGTTAAGACCATTTCTTGCTGCTTTATCATGCATTATTTGAATTCACAGTGATTGAAAATTGATAGATCAATTACACAGGGATACTTTTTTCTTATGTGTGTGTGTTGATATCAGTAGGGCTGTGTTTTAGTAATTTGAATACTAATTGTAACAAATGTAATTTCTCGTGTTTAACATTTTAGATGCAATCAAAATAATTCATCTATCGCGTTAAATGTAGGATTAGAATGACAATCAAGATGATGTATTTAAATTCTCAGCACATTAAACCAATAATCAATTCATTATATTTTGATAATAAAATAATTTATTTTCAAAATGCAAACCATGTGTGATAGATTTTTTTTATATTTATGCTAATAACCATGATAATGATTATGTGGTTATATAATAATTTCCCCCATTGCTTCTCCTCAGGGTACATCACCCTACTCTAAAAATCACATAGAAAATATTCTGCACTGGTTCCTTTTGGGAAAGAAATTCAAATGTTTTTCTTTATACCCTCCACCAATAACGAATTTTGCCTCCAAGAGGCTCATTTTCACTCTAGAACCTGATCTATGAATCAGAAAATCAGATCTCGAAAAAGAAACACAAACAAACAAGAACAGACTATTAAATTGTGTCTTTGTTGTTTTTGCTGTGTTTATGTTGGCATGTCAACACCAGACCTGAGTTAACCAATAATTGTAATATGAGTGAGAAGCATCAAGTAGAGAAAGAACAGGTCTCAGGAAAAACTTTCTGTGCTCTTTTCCAGTTTTATTTAAGTTTCATATTGGGATTAGTAAATACATGAAAATTAATCATTAATATCCTATTAAATATAACATATAAATAATAAATTGTTGTTGTTGTTGTTGTTGTTGTTATGTGCCGTCAAGTCAGCCCCGACTCATAGCGACCCCTCCTTGGGTTTCCGAGGCAGTATCACTACGGAAGTAGGTTGCCCCATCTTCCTTCCGAGGAGTGGCTGGTGGGTTTGAACTGCCAGCCTTCTGGTTAGCAGTCAAGTGCTTTAGCCACTATGCTACCAGAGCTCCTAAATAATAAATATGTTACATAAAATCACTACTCACCATAGAATTTATATTGTTCATAAAGCATTCACATATGCTACTTTATTTCCACTAAGTAATTAAAAAGTTAGGAATAAAAATAGATATGAGCTGTTTTTGTTTTGTTTTGCTTTTAAGCAAAGGCCCCTCTGCACAGCGGGACACCCAAAGTGTCAGAGGAAAAATCAGAGGAAGGTAGCTGTGCCCTGCAGCTCACCTCATAGGCAGCAAATGCTGTGCTGGTACTCCCTCCCTCCTCTCGTGGAGAGAGACTGTCCTCTAATGGTGGAAGAAGAAAATGGCCAGCCCTGTTGCTCAACAAAGAAACTATAAAGCGAATACTATAAAATGATTTAGTGATAAATATATTTATGGAGTAGGTCCTTTGAATTATGTATTTTGGAACAAAAGGAAGGCTAGATACACACAAACATACGTTCATAGACAAAGATTTGTGTCTGTGTGTGTTATATTAATCATGGTATAAATATGAGTGCCTGGAAACTACAAGATTTTGTTAAAGTCTTATTTATGATGGATACATGATTTTCATGGCTCATTTCTCTTTTTCCTACTATAGTTACCGATGCCTGGCTCTCTTATACTGGCGGATGTTTCGACTCAAAAGGGACCATGCTGTAAAGTATTCAAAAGCACTTATCGACTATTTCAAGGTACTGTCTGGCTAATGGGCAACATTGTTCCTTGTACTCAGATGTCTCCCTAACAAGGACATTTTCAAAGCATCTGGTATAATCCATTGCTTTGGGGCTAAAACAGGACACCTCTAGTGTCCAGATTAACCCTATTTATGGCATACTTAAGGAGTTGAGGGCACAGAGAGCCCATCTCATTAATCTACCTGCCTTATTATCCTCGAGTTTTTAAGATCTTAACTGAATGAAGATCCAGTTACCAATTCCAGTGTCCTAGGAAACTCATCTTTTAGCTAACATAAAGTCCTCATGTTTTGGTAAAGCTTCTTTCCCTTAGAACCACCTACTTGGAGCTATTTCTTCATAACTAGTTTCCAGTAGCCATGAATAGAAACAATGAAGAAGTTCAGTATCATCAGTCAGAATAAGGCCAGTAGAACAGACCATTAATTGCTCATATGCACGTTAAGGCTGAAGCTGTAGAAAAGTAAAACAAGTCCATGAGAGCCAAAGTACAATCCTGAATATATTCCACCTGAATTTACAGACCATCTCAGGAATAGATGCACCAAACACTAATGACTGAAGACCAGATGAGTTGTGGAATGACATAAAAGATTTCATACATAAAGAAAGCAGAAGGTCATTTAAAAGACAGGAAAGAAAGAAAAGACCAATATGGAAGTCTGAAGAGACTTTGAAACTTGCACTTGAATATTGTTGTTGTTAGGTGCCATCAAGTCATTTCTGACTCATAGCAACCCCATGCACAGCAGAACAAAACACCGCCCAATCCCGCACCAGCTCCACGATCCTTGCTGTACTTGAGCCCGTTGTCGCAGCCACTGTGTCAATCCATCTCGTCGAAGGCCTTCCCCTC